ATTCCTGCGCGTGGCTGGGAACTTTGAAGACAGGGTTGTGGAGACTGGGGAAAAAGACTGGCACTGTTTTCGTTGTGACAGTGCCAGTTCAATTACTTCTGTTGTGTAGGGTTGGATTTTATTAAACCTTGGTTAATGATGGAGCATTGCTTTGTCTTTCTTTGCCATTCTTAACATAAGAAATAGAGGAGAGATGTTTCTGTGGTGTTACACTTGTGTATCTGACATCTAGGCTTTGTTCCAGGTTTCTGAAATTAATTTGGGCAAATCCATTTATGTCTTTCTGTCCACTACCTGTGAAATGAAAAAAACGTTCCTAACTCTTCGCGGGATTTTAAGGATTTATATGTATAATGTGGCACATTTAGGCTCTACAAGTTTGACGAGCCTGAAAAAACCCCCAACAAAATAAAACTAGCAGAATATGTAAAGGTAAATCGTATTCACTGTTCCTCTGTCCCTATTTGGTAGTAGCTGTTATTAATTGCTACTTTATTTCATTGAATTCAAGCCCTAATGTTAAGTTCCTGTTTACAGGGTAGATAGCAGCAGAAGAAAACAACAGCACCATGACAAGACTCAAAAAAAGGAGTATGAAGAGATTCTCCGGGTTGTCTGTTGTTCTCTCAGAGTGGAGATTAAAATCGTTGTGTAGTGTATGGCCGTTCTTGTAGTGTGCGTTTTGATTTGCTGGGCCTGGAGTCAGGACCACCTCTGAAGTAGTGGAAGACGGCTGCCGCTGAGCTTCGGGTGGTTGGATCCAGGTGATAAATGCCTATTGAGATGTGGGTTGCGTTTGCTCTTGCTCCCAGAAGAAAGCAAGCCAGTAAAATACCCTCTGTAATCCATGCTGTAGTTTAGCTGGTATCTTCTCTGTGCTCCCAGGCAGAGGCTGAGGGACAGCACGCACTGGGACTGAGCAGCAGTTCAGCAACGAGCAGAGCAATACGTTGTAAGCTAGCTGCTGGTGTGTAGGATTTACTCTCTCCTGCATTTGTAGGAATCAGCCTTTTTTTTTTTTTTGGCAGGGTGCAGAGAAATGCAGGTGGCTCAGCTTTACAGAGTTGACGTTTGCTCTCAATTTCCCTCAGGTTGAGTAGCTCCACTGAGCAAAGTACTTCGTCCCGGCTCATACGGAAGCATAAACGCAGGAGGAGGAAACAAAGGATGCGGCAGATTGACAGGGTAAGGTTGGCATCATAATTTTTGGAGAAGGTGAACCGTGGTTTTTGAGTGTAGCATGTGAATTAGGAAGGGATCCGAAACAGGTCTATGCCCTGTTGAATTGATTGGAAAGGCTCCCTTTGGCTGTAAGCTACCCTGGACTAAATCTCGAACATTCAAGGTTCTGCAGCACTAGAGTCAAGACTCTTTTTCTTCTCTCCCTTTCTCCTTTCACTGCTAAGTGATCGCATTTCTTGTTGTCTCTTTCAAGACCAGCCTCCGCGGGAGAACCTCCGTCACACTACTGGCTGATGAGGGCAAGGGGTGTCTGTGCTGTCAGACACCTGAGAGATAAATTGCCGAGACTTGGATTCTACTGAAAGGAGAAATCTGCGTTCATAGGAAATCGTAGATCTTTCCTCTTGCCCTTTTCTGTGCTAGTCCTATGGTAGCAGAAGGAGGATGGTCCAAGTGACATACTTTTTGAAGTCACTGTTTTGTTCTCCTGTAAATACCAGTCTTGATAGATTAAAGAATAAATATGCATACATATTATCACAAGAACTGGAGTAAATATTTTAGAGATAATTGATAAGCACATTTGTATTTCATTTTGTCAGGGAGGAGTGTCTGTCTTCTCGCTGCCTGAAGGATCATGTTCACTCCTCTCTTTAGGGATGTAATAATTCACACTGCACTGGGCACTTTAGTATTTAAATGTCTGCCTGTCAGCAATGTAGTCAGGAAGCAGAAATGTGAAGTTCAGTTGAGAAACCTCAGTATAGGATCTTGCTCCGTGTGTTTTGTAAACAAGTCTTTGGAGAAAGTGCAGATTGCGTTCAGATTTTTTTTCCTTACAGATTCTAAATGAAGAATAATTTTGAGGAGGCCACAATGGTGGATGCCTTCCAAACAGAAACTTGTTACTCAGTTCCCAATGAATTAATCCTCAATAGTTATTTTTATTGTATTATCCTGAGCCATTTAAAACCTTGAGATTTTTCTGTTGTATTTTGCAGTCGTCTTCGTTCAGCAGCATCACTGATTCTACCATGTCCCTAAATATCATCACTGTCACACTCAACATGGGTAAGAGGACAAGCAATGTTTCTTATGGTGAATTTCAAGTGAAGTATTTTGTCATAGTGCAGTAGCTTTTGGAGCCAGTAGCAAGTTCATTGATTTGAAAGGATGCCAACTGAACTAAAGGGAATGGCAGCTGAGAGCTGCTGCTCTGCTGACTGTGCCTGGATTCTGAGTCCGGTACTGGGAAGGTCCGAGCCGTTTGCACAAGGAGAACGGTGCTCTTCCCAGTGAGCCCAGGGAGGGAGCTGGAACGCCAGGATCTGGAGTTCTGCTCTTTTTTCTAGGAATGGTAAGGGGTCAGACGTTGTTAGGAACAAAAGTAGAAGAGCACTGGGGGTTTGTATTTCTGCTGCTGATGTGCTTCATTGTTTAGCCAGACAGAAATGTGCAGGACTGCTGATTCAGCACCTTGCAGTAGCGCCAAATTCTTCCTGCCACTCTGGCATGTGGAAAAAACATTGCCTAATGCTGATCAGGCACCTAATTTCTAGGTGTAGACATGTCTTTTCAATGTCATTTCTCTTCCTGATTTTTTGAATGTAATTTTTCGGTGTCCTGTATGAAAAAAATCATGTCTTTAGCAGCATTTCCTGCTGCCTTTCCCTGACCGTGCCAGGCAGACATATGCCAGTAGGGTAACCTGAGATAATTGTGAGTCAAACGTGGCCCAGCTGATGCGTTGAGAGATCTGATTTTTCAGGACTGAAGTAGCCTGCTGTTAGCTCTTCACTATCATTCCAATCACTTTGTTTGCTTTTTTTCCCCCCACCCTCCACTTTCTATCTGTGTAGAAAAGTATAACTTCCTGGGAATCAGCATTGTAGGACAGAGCAATGACCGGGGTGATGGTGGCATATACATTGGCTCTATTATGAAAGGAGGGGCTGTGGCAGCAGATGGCCGAATTGAACCAGGAGACATGCTTCTGCAGGTTGGTCCGTGTCCAAAAATACGTGCTGCTGGCTTGTACGTTGGTGGCTCAGCTCAGTCATCCCACCAGATCCATGGACTCCGTAATCAGTTAACAGAATTCATTCATACTCAGAGAAATGTGTCACAAAGACCGTTATCACTTAGATCTGTAACTCTTTGCGATCTCTGCTCGATAGTTGTGCTCTGAGAAGCAGTATTTCTGCGGCTGCTCAAAGGAATGGAAACAGTTACAAGGCAAATATATTTGGAATTCAACAAGTAAAATGTCTTTAATTTCCCTATTGCAAAGCCTGACCTCTGCTTTTTCGACATTTCAGGTGAATGATGTCAATTTTGAGAACATGAGCAATGATGATGCAGTACGGGTTTTACGGGAAATAGTCTCCAAACCAGGGTGAGCATATTACAAAATCTCTTGCCACTTGTCCTCCGTATGCAGTTATCAGTATTGGGAAAACCCTTGAGAGATTGACATTTTGATCTCAATAAGCAACCGGCGTGGCTGCTGAGCTCGACTCTGGACGTCTCAGTGCAAATGAAGAAGAGGTGACACTGGTTCCAATGTGCAGCCAAAACCAACACGAACTAGGAGTTGGCTGGTTTCAGTAGGACTCTTTGTACAATGAGCATTTTAATATCTGAAGAGCTGATCGTTCGACAGATTTCACCAATAGTGCTTGTGATCGACACAAAACAAGAAACATCCTAATACTGGTTCATGCTGAAAATACTCCGACAAGCATCTCAAAAGCATTCGCAGAATGTACTTGACAGCCCTTGGATAGGAATAAGTTTGTTTCAAACAGTTTGTTGTAGCAGTTACGACTTCTGTTGTAAAGTTGTTACCCTTACTTGTTTCCTTTCTTCCTAGACCTATCAGCCTAACAGTAGCCAAATGCTGGGACCCTACTCCCAGGAGTTATTTCACCATCCCCAGGGGTGAGTATATATTTGTGCTCTTTGCTGGGTTCCTGTGGGGCCCTCAAGGTCTAGAATATTTTCAGTTATTTTGCTGTGTAACAGAGTTCGATGTTTTTAAGTTTGGCTGTATTGTTTGTTTGCCTTTTGTTCTGGGAGCTGGGGGTTTCAGATGCTCTTTCTGAGATTCCAGTGCCTACTGAGTTCATGGGAGTTTTTGTTTTGATTCACTTGGCTTTGGATCAAGCTCTGATCTTTTGGTGGGTACATCCTCGTGATCTTAGCCTTTCAGTTGATAGAAAGTTTGGAGGATAACTATGCTGAAGTGTTAAAAAGCCTCATTGTGTCACATGTACACTTCTTAGAAAGGATTTTGACTGAGTATTTTTAAAATTTGAGGCAAACAGCATTGCTTAATATACATAAACATGCCTGAAAATGATCTAGTTTTAAAACTTCTGGCTTAAGAAATCTTTCAGTAGCGTTAAAAGATCCCGTGCTCATGTGACAAACACAGCTGCCTCCTGCTGGCGAGGGCTCTGTTTGTGATACTGAAACCAGTCCTGCAGTGAAGACAGGCATAGCATTGGCCACTGCAGTTAATGCAACAGGCTTGTGCAGAGCAGGAGAGCTCACTTGGTGAAGTCCTTAGGAAAACCAGCATCATCAGAAGAAAAATCCCACAAATCACCTATTTCAGAAATGCTACAGGGAGAGCTTGTGTATCGGTTTGTCCGTTGTTCAGCAAGGGTGCACACGTTATTGTCCAAGGTGAGCGGCGGTGTGTCTGCTGTACACTAAACTGATTGCAGTAATGTGTGGGATGTTTTGTGGAAATACCTAACATAGGCAGAGCTCTTTTGCATAATTTCTGATTTTAGGGCAATGGAACAACAGCAAATATAATTCGGAAGAAAAGAAGTAATCCAGATTATGGAGAAAATTGAGTTTTATTCCCAGATTTCAAAATTACTTGCTATGTGGCTGCTCTTAAAGTCTGAGTGTAATTTTCATTCTTCTCGGACACCAGTCTCTTCAAATGGTCTTTATAGATCTTGTCTATTGTGTAAGACTGTTCCAGTCCTAAAATGTTTCATTATGACTGCTAAAAATGCAGAGATGGGAATTCCATGGTGCCTCACCTCTGCAAATACAGAGCTATAGAGTCACTGCTCGGATTCACCTTCTGTCTGAGTGGTTATTTTGGATCCAAATTCCTTACAAGTAGGGAGAGATCTTCCTGCCAGCTGGGACAAAGCATTTGGGAGTACTTCACGTTGTAGCAAAAGGAGAATCTGTCTCACTGTATAGAACAGTAGCAAACTACTGTTACTGGACAGGTAGCTGCTTTCCTGCAAGTGGAAATACTTCACTCCTACTGCAGTTATGGGAATGGGAGTGTCCTGGTTGCCTCCCGTTTGGTGTGGCAGTTGGTGGAGGAAACCAGCTACTGCTGGCAAGGTGGTTTTTGTTCCCTCGTGCTCAGACTACCTCAGTTGTACTCAGTTGTAATATCAGAATGGCAAGAACTAGTGCACCCCCAAAAAATTCCTTCTAGGTCTTAGTGTTCTCTGCAGATCCGATTCTGATTGTCTGTTTCTCCCTTTCTGGTTGTTTTGCAGCTGAACCAGTGAGGCCAATTGACCCTGCAGCGTGGATCTCTCATACCACAGCCATGACGGGAGCGTACCCCCGTTACGGTATGAGCCCCTCCATGAGCATCACCACATCTACCAGCTCCTCACTAACAAGCTCAATTCCCGATTCGGAAAGTAAGTCACACTGCGGCCAGCACAGGGCAGGCGTCTTCTGCTCGGGGCCAGCGGTGCAGAGCTGTGCGCAAAACCGACCCCGGCCACAAGCACGATGAAAAGGACAGCCACCAGAGAACTCTTGAATGCTTTCTTAAATTTGTCATTCTTATGGGGAGCGTAAAACCTGTTTCCAAAGGCCAGAAGTTAACACAGCGGTGTTTTGCTGGGGCTCACATTCAGGAAGAGGTGGCTTCTGGTCCCTGTTAAAGTTCACAAGGCAGGTGTCCAACTTTATCCCCTCAGCTGAATGTGAGAGCTTCCTCCTTGCATTTGACTGGTTTTTAATAAATTTAAATAATTTGCTTCAGATAGATGTCACTGGATAATAACGTTAGTGTACCGTTTAGGAAATCTTCCACTATACTCGCATAGCCTTCTTGTATACTTTTTTATACTTTTAGCATTAATTGAACAAATTAAAAACAAATGTAATGTCCCATGTGAAATTACAGTTAGAGTTCAGCCTTCTTTTTGTGGTTTGCCTATCTGTGGCAGTCTCTCAACTAGTCATATTTATGTAGCCAGCAAGTTGTCCTGATTCCTTACCTTGGACATTTTTGTTTAAAGAATATAAGCTCTTCCTTTCTTTTACGTTTCCTTTGCTTTCTGATGTTAGTGTGGGATAAAAGCGAGCGTTTGGTTTGCAACACATGGCAGTAAGGGAAGACCAATAAGTGAGGAGCCTGTGTCTCTGAGAACACTGTCCACTGAAGTCCTAGTTCAGGAGAGTGTTCGTATTTAAAACAGCACTTCTGTTTCCTTGACATGAAAGTGTTGAGGTACTTTCCACCTCATTAATACGTGTTTGTTTCCTGTAATATTAATATGGAATAATTTCTGCAGAGATGCAACCTTTCTATTGGATTTGTTCATCTGTAGCAATGAGATTTATTGTATTTGTTTATATACACACAGAAATCTTGAAGTGGCCTTGAAGTCCTGAGGAGATAATCTCATTATTGGGACAACGCTACCTCAGTATGCACTCACTGAAAGTCAGAGGAGTACTTAGGTGTTTAACAAGGGTTGCTGAAGTGTCTGCCAGATCTGGAGTCTAAATTTAGGACTGAGTAACTTTTTTCATTTTGTAAGATTTTTCCAGAGAGAAAGGGAGGATAGCATTTAGACAACAACAAAACAGAATGAGCAAGAAAAACGACGCTTTGAGGATTGTAAAGACCAATGTAGTGCTGGTGGTTAGTGGCAGAATCTTTCCTGGACAAATGCATGGCTGAAGCATGAAAGTTGCATTTGCAGGGACCAGTGGAGTCCTGTTGGACTACGTAGGTGTCTGCCTCTTTTTCTTCTGCCCTCTCTCAGATTTTACATGTGCATAGTTCCCAGAATTACACCTCACCTTGGATGGAGAGGGCTGTTATCCTTTTTGTAGGTGTAGTAGCTCGGTGCCTCTTTAGATAGTAGGCAGCACCGCTGAAGGGGAAGCACATCCGCAGCAGAAAGCAAGTGAACCACTTACCTGACGACTGCTTTATCTTGAGATGTGTTTTCAGGCTTACAGGTACTAAAGGTTGCTGGAATCAAATGTATCTGCTGATTGCTGTCAAACGACAAGAGTCTGTTACTCTGCGTTCCGCTGGAACTATTCGTGTATCGTGTGCCTTGATATATAGCGGTGTGATTGGGAAGCGTGGAACGCAGATGCCATCTCAATCATACTTTTAAAATAAAGGTTATTTGGGAGCAGAACCACATTTTGGAGACAGCTTCTCATTTCTATGCCAGTGACTTACAATGTTTCCTGAACGCAAGGAAACGCGGAGTACCCCTGACCTTCATTGTGACCTTGTGCTCACCACTCCTTCCTTCGGTTCAGCGCTGTTACCCACCCCGACCTGGCAGGCAGCACCTCAGGGCCGTAGGCACGAAGAGCACCTCCTTGGCAGGAGACACAAAATTGGGAAGGAACGGAGGAGGAGAGAGAGGCGAGGAGACACTGTGCATTGACGCCTCAGAGAACGAAGAGCTTCTTGCAAAATGGGGCTTTCTAACTCTGCATGCTCCACTGCAAGATTCTCTGTTTCAGTTCCTCTGAGGCCGGAGTCACTGGTATCTGAAGCAAATATAATATCTGTTCTACGGTATCTGGCTGTGAAGGTGGAAGAGTGACTTAACGGACTCATCTTAGACAAGTCTGTGTCATGGTTCCTTGTTTTAAGTATTGTCAATGTCTGCTGGTTTACTCCGTATGCCAAGGCCAGGATAATGTCGGTGGACTGAATAACTGCTCTCCTTCTGACTGGCATTCCCTTGCTCTCTGGCCTCTGGATCAAAAGGGAAGTTCTGATATCTGAACCGTTTGCACAGCCACCATCACATCGGTGCTAGCGATTGAAGCAGCTGAGATTTTGGGGCCGTACACATCACCACCACACAGTTCTGTGTTAGCTCTTTATTTTCTCAGGTGCATTTCTTCAAAAACAGGACTATGCAAACTAAGGCAGACTCCGGCGTTTCATAATCATTATTGCTTTAAAAAGTATCTTGTTCTCCAGCAGAGTTCTGGCTGATGCAGGAGAATATTCTCTCACGGTGGTTTGTGAGCGTTGGACTCGCTGCCTCAGCCAGTGCAAACTCTGCTCCTCGTTTACTCTGCTGCAGGTAGATTTTCCAGCCCCTGTTCTGCCACTGCGGGCCCTCTTTCTGCAAAGTGCTGCTGTCCCGTTCCGTGAGATGAACTTCACGTGTTTCAGTGTTCCTTGAAAGTCTTGCTGTTTCAACATGCAGTCCACTGACGTTGGTGGAAAGTTCTCCTTTTGCATGGACTTCAGAGGATTTTGAACTGAGACTTCAAACTGTTCCTGCGCAGTAGTATTCAGCCTGAGGTGCTGCATCCTTTCCTGGGGCCTTTTTGTTTAGGCAAAGGTGTGCTTCCTTACTCAAATAAGGACATAAGGCAGGGCGGGTATTACATGTGGTAGGACTTCATTTTCCTGGAGCGTACACCTCTTTTACTCCCAGGCCACTCAAATCCAGTAACCAGAGCCCCGAGAAAGAGCTTTGCGGTCGATCTGTTCCCCAGGGAGGAGTTCCTGTCCCTGCTGTTCCGCAGATTTGCACGTACCTGTGCAGGTGGTCAGGTAGTCACGCCCACGGTTGACTGAGTTCAGACCAAAGCGGGCGCAGTTTCGATGCATCTCAGAATTTTTCATGTTTGTACGGCAACTAGCAGACTTGGAAAATATCGATAATCATTTGGCCAGAGTTTTTCTTTACATGCAGATCGCAGGTCTCCAAGAAAATACGATTAACTGCTCCCCACATACTTTACTAGAATATTGATTTGTTATTGGTTTTTTTCCCCCCAAACAAACATGTTGCTTTTTGCCACTAACCAAACTAACTTCAAGCAAAAGCAAAATTGTAGTGTTTGTTCAAACTTTGCAAGTATTGAAACCGCATGCATAGATGGTCTGGGATGTTTTCATGCCTATTGGCAGTGCATGTATTGAAAGGAGCATTTTCAGTTTTCATTGTTTCATGCTTGTTGTACCTTTTATCAAAATTTTGGGTTGCTGGAAAAGGACAAAATTGGTTCCCCTGTGCTTCTGAAAGGTGGGTGATATGGGGAGCTGGGAGAAGGGAGGGGAGGAGGGGTTCTGAATTCCTGGTGGGGAAAGATGAACTGCAAACGCAGGACGCACATGTTCAACATGATTTTTCTAGGGCTAAGAAGATGGGAGCGAGGAGGAGGACTGGGTGCTGTATCCAAGAGTAGAATGGTCTTATGTATAGGGCAGGATATTTGAGTTCTGCACAGCTACCACAAGAAGGCTGGTAGACTCTTGGACCCAGAGTCACCCCACGGGGCTTGCAATATTGGATGCCACTTTGCCTCACTGTGTGGTAGAGAAGGAGTTTCTAAAGGAACTAGACTCCTATGGTAGGCACCGCAGGTCAGCAGGGTGAATCTCAGCCCTAGGTGTTCTGCTTTTATTATAAAAATGGATCAGGAAAGTATGAAGCCTCTGGTGAGCCAGCCCATAGGAGGGTGTGAAATATGAACGGAGCTGCTCAGGCATTTGGGAGTAGCCGTTTTTGAAGTGCTCTGCAAGAAAGATGCAGGGCGAAGTAATGCTGGCTTTAAGCCACTTGTTAATTTGTGAGGCTGCCGTTGCTGGGATCGTGGAAAGTTTTTTTTGAAGGAAACCACTAGCCTTTATCCTGGTGATGGAAGCTTTTTTCCTAATTTCAGTTCTCTCCAATTATGCTGATGTCCAAATCTTAACAAGTGGACATTGATTGAGGCATGGTTGTCATCGTTCTCCATGCAGATGGGTATTATTCCTGACAGTTAAACCAACAGTTAGAGAACAAGCCAAGAAACCTTGTCCTGCAGAGTTTTGCACAGAGTGCGCTGAGCTGTTGGGTGGCTGGGGCTGTTCCTGGCGAATGGAAATGGAAAGCAGTGGTCGCAGAACTCCTCGGGCTTCCTTTTCTGCCAATCTCGATGCAGCGTGGACTGAGGGAGCGCAGTGCTGGTCCGTTGCTGGTTTGTGAAGTCGGGACGCGTAGGGGCTCGGCGTCTCAGTGACTGAGCTGGTTGCACTGAACGTGATCTCTGAAGAATTGGTACCAATGTTGTGATTTGTGCCGTTGGCGAGGGTGCATTTGGGAACCTCTGTGTCTTTTTTTGCATCGGTTGGTAAAGCTGTGTCTTGACACGGATCATCCAAATTGGGAGCTGAGAAGTTCCTTTCAGACTCAGTTCATTTCAAAGAAGCATGTAACCTTTCTTCCTTTTAGAATTAGAAGAATCTCCCTTAACTGTGAAGAGTGACATGGCTACTATTGTCAAGGTTATGCAGCTGCCAGACTCGGGCCTGGAAATCCGGGACAGGATGTGGTTAAAAATCACCATCTCCAATGCAGTGATAGGTAAGACGATCAAAGG